ATTCAGCATTGAGATAGGTGGTATATCTACTCTAAATCCTTCTCATAAAATATCTATTGAGATATTTAGTGTAATTGAATTCAAGGAGAACACATGTATAGACTCACGGAAGGTTTTATGAGGATTATTCACCCATTTGTCATTTTAAGATCACATCCTGTGTTTCACTAACTCCATTTGATGTCAGGGTCAAGAATGTAGAGCTGTGATGTAGAAATGAGATTTGCATGCTGTAGTTGCAGCAGTGGAAGATGCCCATGGCTCTTCGTGACTATGTCTTTGAAATGCGAGTCCCTAATACAGGATTTGATTGGTTTTGTTCCTGCTGGAGCAGGAAGTATCCCATGTAGAGGGGAAGCTGTTGTGCTTGTGCTGAGTGATGCCGAGGAAGGTGCCTTGGTGGCTTTGAGCAACAATTTAAATGGGAACTTGCTTGCACTGGGCCAGAGCAACAGCTGGTGCAGCAGTGTGGAGCAAGGGGTCTGAGGAGAAGCAAGAGCTGGGAGGAGCCAGCCCATGGGAGCGCCACCAGGGCTCTGGCCCAGACGGAGCTGATTGGCACGGAGTACCAAGAGCAAAGGGGAGCCATGTAGGCATCTGCTGGACCTGTCTTTCAGTGTTAAGTTTCTTGGTGTGTTTGTTTGTTGCCTCTTTGGATGGTAATTTTAGGAAATTGCAGGTAATTGCTGATTTTTACATTACCCTAAATTGGTAAACAATCTGTTTACCCTCTGAAATTCAGCACATTCATCACATGAGTTATGCTACATTCTAATTTTATGATACTATTTTGACAACACATTTGTTTGGTATCCAAGTAAAATTGCAGTAAATCTATCTTCTAGAATACTTGGTTAGTTCTCTTTATAGCACTTTGTGATTACAGGGAGCACAATATGTCTACACAGTCGTAAGTACGAAGAGGTATAAAGTAAGTTTGCAAAATGTAAGCGGTTATGCTTGTGAGCACTAGGGCATAACCTGCTACAGCTGTTTTCGCCTATGCAGCATAATTTATCATCTTAGGATCTGATCTGATAAGAAACAGGTTTATTGTTATGTTTAACAGTTTCCCAGATGGACAAAATTAAAATAAACAAGGTAAACACTAGCACTGAGAGTCAGAGACTGCAAGAGAAAGCAAGTAAAAGGGTGATAATTTGAAGAAGTAAAAAGATGTAAATTTGAAGAACATTCCAACCATGAAGAAGTACAGATATAACAGGACATTCATAGTGACTAGGCAGATAAATCCTGTTTTTTATTTGAAAAAAGAAAAAAGGAAATGGAACTGAAATTTTGTGCAGAGCTGCTTTAAATATATATATATATACACACACACACACATATATATATTTATAAAAAGTATACTTGTAAACCAGTTGCATAAAAGCAGAGTTGAAATTTTGAATGGCAAACTTTTGAAATAATCTCCATTTACTAAAATTGAATTTGAAGATGCAGCATTTTGTTTACTGAGCATGCAGCATCCAACTAAGCATTGTTTAACACTTAGTTTTCTTTAAAAATCAGTGATGCATTGAACGAAGAATCAGGTATTAACTCACTTCTCTTTTTATCAAATATTTTCAAAGTTTTGGACAAGTCCATTACTAGCATGTTTACTATATAGGACAGCAGATTTTTTTTAATAAGATGAAGGAGATAGTTCATATAAATTTCATGAGAATAGTATGAAATGCTTGAATGTGCTCAAAGCTATAGCATACTCAGCTTTTGAACAAAGGCCTGGAATGTGATTTGATTTATTGGGATTGTGACTAATACTTCATAGGATATATGTTCTTGTCGGACTTTTCATCTTTGATGAAATATAGTAAGTAAGCATGTGTAAGTCAGTAAGTGTAAATTTATGTTGCAGAAAGATGGTAGTAGAGTGGTTAAACATGTTGATGTACTAAATAGGAATGGTATACATTACCTAAAATTTTTAAAGCTATGGTTTCTTGCTTTGTTCTAGCTGGCTCTTGGACTCAGCCATACTCACCTGTCCATGTATCATTCTAGTATCCTATCTAAATAATATCAGGGCTGCAAAATGGTGAAAAACATTTTGCATATGTAATCGTAACCAGGATTATAAATAAGCTTATTTTTTCCAAATACAGAAATGCATGGTTCAAATACCCGCTTGAATGTGAAGATAGTAAAAAGCCTTAATCACTTTATCTTTTTCCTTTTTTCCTTACCTTTACCAAAAAAAAAAAAAAAAAAAGTGCCTGTGCAAATACCACCCAGTGTTATAAAATCCTAATCCTACCCCTACCCTGTGTTCATGGAGGAAGGATCTTTGTCTGAATTGAATAAAAACACATATTTACTGCTTGCAGATTGTGTGCAATATAGCGTAGATAACATATAGGTTTTGTGTGTGTGTGTTGGTATGTATATGGACATAAAATATATGTATATTTAGAAAACAAATGCAGAAAACTGGGTATGTCTAGCACTTCGTTTTTACTAGGCAATTCCAGTTAACTTGTGCACATATGGGTGTGACTGCACCTTTGTCTAGGGATGATGCTTACACTCAGGTGGCTGATGAAGTCTCATGTTTGGGCGTGCAGACTGCAGCACCTGCATGCTGCAGTGGAAGGGTTCATGCTCAGTGTTGCAGTACTAGAGTGTGATACATGGAGTTTCCTAGATCAATATGTGATTTAGATCCGTATTTGTTTTCTTCCATTACTAAGAAGGAACTTATATTACAGTTTTCTCTCACTTGGCACACAGGAATCACCAGGCAGACCCATGTTATGGGGCGTTTTTCTTTGCTATTAAGCTTGTTTTTATTGAGAGCTAATGAGGAGCCACATCTTCTGTTTTTAGTCCTGTGTTTGTTACACATTCTTGTCAATGTCATGCACTTAAACTCATGTATATTCAGAAGTCATGTGATTAAGCACAAATACCTAGAAAATGTGCATTTGCACATTCTCAATAGTTGTCTTCATAATCTACAAAATGTGAAGATGGTTAATATCTATCCAGTGGAGTGGAGCACTGTTTATTCACAGATGACCCAGAAGCTGCATTGGACAGTATGACATAAGCAGGGCTTCAAAGGTTTTGAAAGGTGAACTTCAGCCCTGGTTAAATCAATTGCAGCAGACCTTGGGTGTTAATTCATAGTTGACTGGCAAGTGCATGAAGGGTGTGGGGTCCACCCTCCCAAGCATCCCAGCCCTGTGGGTCAGCTGTAGATTGCAGGCTCTACTTGCACTGAGTCGCAGAGGGCTGTATTGAGGCTGCTAATGTAGAGAATTGATTTAAGAGTACTATGTCCTGCTGGCAAGTGCTAATCAGAGTTTGCGTGCAGCAAGATGGGAAGAAAATTACTTGAGCCTCAGGTATTTTTTTACAAACTATGCAGTCTGGATAATAAGAGAAGAATCACTGCATGCATTTTATAAATTAAGTGTCTGGAAAACTGCACTGCAGAAGATGGTACGCACAGAAGTGTGAGCCTCTGAAGATGCCTTTAGCTTATACAATAAACTTGATGGAGAGGCCAGTCACTGCACACATATTGGGCTTCCCTTAAAACAGGGAGGTAGACGATGCCTGGTACAGGGAAGAAAGGTCCAGCTGGGTGCATTTTGCCAGGGGAGATGTGCCATTATTTTTAAGTCTTCAGAAGCTCTGGAAGGCAGATTTTTTTTTTTCTGAGCTGTCACTAGTGCTGGGGACACTGAGAATGCTCCCAATACAATCCTGAGAACATGCCAAAGCTCAAAAATCCTTCGTGCTCTAGGTATTATGCGTTGCAAGTGTATACCTCATTGCTGTGTTTACCTGTACATGCTTTCTGAAAGGTTTTTTTCACCTCAAAGTGTTGTAATAGTCTGTCCTTGCTTGCTTGCAGGAACTTTTTTGTCCCTTTTTTTCTTTGCATTGCCCATGAGCCCTTTTTAGGGTTTAGGGGAAAATAGAGATAGCAACAAGTGATGTGAAACTCTACTCACCAAAGCTCTCAAAAAAGTGTAACCAAAAATTGAGGTGTTACAGCTAAGGGGATGCTTGATAATTTGTGTTCAGCTACCATTCCAAGACAACGTATTAGTATATATGAAGAGTGAAATCCCGGCGCATCATACAGCACCAAAAGCTTTGAGTTCTCCCCTAATGCGGGTAGGGTGTGCATCTTGATGTGAGTCTTGCAAGAGATAAATATACTTTACACTTTGGTACTTGTTAGCAAATGTTTGCTATAGGGCCAATTTTCTTATAAGGCATTTTGAAACTAAGGATAAAACTGTAGTGCAAATATCTAATTGCACTACTACAACTACAAATATCGAATTTGCACTACTGTAATTACATAAAGCCACAAAATTGCTGAGGGGCAGCTCACAGATGGTTTTATGGATCTGAGTTTGGCTACAGCCTTGGCTATTTTGGTATTTTTCACGCACATGAAATTGCGTTATAGTTAGCACTATGGATATATCATTAGCTGGCAGAGTAATAACTGTCCTCCATACAGCTAATATAGGAATTACTGTTGTTTGGCTGATGCAAGAAAAAGATGTATGCATGGGAAGGGTGCTTTGCTGTGATGGTCTGTTAAGCTTTTCTTTATCCTAAAATTGAGAGCTCCACATTAATGTTTCTAAATTGGTATTTCTCTACACTTGTTTTGTGTGAGTAGAATTATGACATTTCACAGATGTTTCTTAACTGAAGAAAAGAAGTGACCTGATAGGAACTCAAATAAAAAAGATGAAAAGAATCAAAAAATAACAAAATGGACTTCTGGGCAGGGAGCTCTTCACATTTCTATGTAATGTCTTTGGATGCATTAATTTGTTTATACTGTAACTTAGAGGATGTTATTAAAAAGATCACACATGACAAAGGAGAATTGAGTTTCATTACTTGAATGTAATTATCTCACACTGTTTGAAACAGTCTTTTCTTGTCAAGAGCGAAGTAAAAGCGTTAAGCCTATTATAACATCTCTTTTGATGTTTTTATAGGATGTAATAAAAGATGAATGTTCTGTGCTGAAGCTGCAGCTGAAGGAGAGAGATGAACTCATAGCCCAACTTCGGGAGGAGCTGGTAAGCAGGAGATGCTTTCTTTTTTTCTTTTTTTTTTCTTTTAGACTAGAAACTACATAACTATAGTTTCACACCTGCTGCAAAATGGCTGTCCTAAGGCTATGACAATCACTCTGATTAACCCTGATAACACTGGCTGTGCATTCCTAGGGACTTAATTGGAAATGGCTGCTATCTAAATTTTTTTTGGTTTACGAGATCGTGTTGACAGTTGTCTTGCAGTATCAAAGTGGCATTAATCTGGGGTGGAGGAAGAGCACAGGCCTGAATGCTGTGCTCAGCATATGCCACAAATCGTGAAGGGCTGTGCATGTGTGCTCAAGAGTTGCAAACATTTCTCCTGGGAGCTGCTTTGCACAGCTAGGAGTAGACAATGAAATACTTTTTTTTTTTTTTTTTTTTTATTTAAAAACCCCCTGTTAAAAAGGAGAAAAAAAAAAAAGAAATTTGTTCTCATGCTTACTGATTTCTTTGCTTATATTACCTAGCAAGGCTTCAGTACTAAGATTTTGAGCTTACACACATTACCCCAAATGGTAGCCTGAGGCAAAATATGGGATCAATCAATTAAAAAAAAATCTAAATGTTTTCTGTTGCACTATTAAGGCTGCTAAAATAATTTTAAAAATGGATTTGTGAGGGAACATGGATAAGGCAGCATGTCTTCTGTATTCTTAACTGTATAAAAATACAAGGATGGAGGATTTTTCTGCTTCTTTTGTCACAAATAGAGAATTTGAGAGGTACAGGCACTTGAGATAGTGTGTGAGCAACCGTCTGGAGGTGCTGTTGTTTCCCTAATCAGCATATATTTCTGATCCAGCTTGTGCTTTTTTCGTGCCTCACATCTGGTGACCAAGTCAAAACTTGCACAGAATGAATTCACTCATTCAAACCAGAGAGAAATTGTGCTAGGCTGGCTGTGCAGTTTCAGACTCATCCAAGAGGTCAGAAGAGTCCTCAAGTACAATAGCCATGACCGTGGCATGGCTTTTTTTTCTAACCAAAAATGTCAGTATAGTTTTACACCAACAGCCATAGTTACATCTCAAGTTGTATGAAGACTATGCAGTGCTGCTCACTGATGAATGATGCCTTTGCTAGAGTAACATCTGCAAAATAAACACAGGTCATCAATATTCTTTGTTTTATATTTGGCTACATTAAGAAATGATATATTATGTAGTTATTATCTAAAATTAAATGACAAAAAGGGATACAGGGAACACAGAGCTGCTGTACGCTCCGGGAACATTAATTTCATATCAGTCTAGTTCTGAACATATGCTATTAACTGGTTGACAATTTTGTCACTGTAAAATTATCCTTTATTGATACAGTGAGCTATAGCTTCTTGGCTGTTAACCGTTGTCAGAGTTCATCTCTGCAGATGTCAGCTGCAGAAAAACTCCCAGCGGGAATTTGGTGTTAGGATTTCTTATTAGGTGGAAAAACCATCATCAGAGGGTCATGAAGTAGGAGTTTCCAGAAGAGTAAAAATGACTACCATGGATTAAAATTGACTTAAGTACTAGCACTTTTGGACTTGCTAAAAAGAATGTGGGTAAAATTTTGGAGTCTTTTTTTATATGTATATATATATATATAGATTTTTTTTTATCCTGTTTTTCTCTGGTTCTTACCTGTCTCTTTTGGTAGTGTTCTTGGTGACTGAGGTACTTGTAGAAAGCTTTCTGCTGCAAGCTACCCAGGCCAAGTTCTTCCTTTAGAGCTCTTGGGAGAAAAGAGGCTTAAACAAGTGTGTCCAAAAGTGTGATTAATTTTTTTTGTCTTTGCTTCTGTAGCTTGGACAAATATTGATGGAAAAATGCATGCTTTGAGAATTTGCAAATCTGAACAGTGACAGTTATCTATATGTTCATGAGAGGGTCAATATTAGGAGTGAGAATGCCTAAAGCAAAGCAGGGGAGTTGGAGTTTCTGGCTGATAAAACATCATGGAACCTAGATGCAATATGATACGGACTTGATACCTGTTAGCTAACTTTATTCTATTCTTGTGCCTGTACTTGTTCATTGGTCATTTGGGTAGGACCATTTACTAGTTGCAAATACAGCTTGGCTGTCTTAAAAATCTTTGCAAAGACTGCAGGAGTTTTAATGTGTTCATTCGGTTCAGCTGTGTATATCTGAAAAATCTGTTGCTGGGGGAGGTTGGTTCCTAGCATGTAAATGCAAAACACCTGGTTAATTAGTCTGTCTCCAGGGCTCTGCAGCAGACGTGAGATGGACTTCAGGTTTTGGGAGGATTTGTTTCCCTTGTTGCTCTAATTGCTCCTTTTTCACTCACCCAGGGATTCTTTGTCTTTTAAGAAGGATTTCTATCAAACTTGGGTGCATGAAGAAGGAGATATTTAATAGTGATGAGGGTAGGAAACATTGGTGGAGTTGGAGCTTCCTGGTGGATAGGGAGCAGCCAGGTACAACTGTGCAGCTGAGCACCTGTAGTTTATTCTCTTCCTAATGGCTTTGGAGCTCATAAAGAGTGGGGGAGCATGAAGCACCATTGTCTGAAGACTGAAAAGGGAGCATCATAGCTCAGCATCCAATGGTAAAACACCAGGAAACTTTGCCTGTGTCTGACCAAGCCAAGAAGAACTTATGTGGGGAAAAATGGTAAGTAATTTTCTTCGTATTTTAACATGAAATATTGTATTGATACCCTGGGATAAAAACTTTTCTTTGTAGAAATAAAGTGAAGGTAAGATGGAGCAATGGAACTGTTACCTTTACTGCCCCTTTTGCTTTCCTCCCTAAAAAGTAAGAGTTTAAGGAATTGGTAGAGAGTTTGGCTTCCAGTATGCTTGCTCTCCAAAACTGCAGTTAAGCTGCTTGAAAATGGTGAACTCGAGCAAGAACTGAACAATTCAGTTCAACTGTCCCACGTCTTGGCTGCTGATTACTCTGGGAGAAGCATGGCTTGCTCTTCTCTGCTCCTTGGTAAAAATGCCCCTGATCAGAGAATGGAGGAAGTGAGTTGCTTATACAGTGTTTGCTAAAAAGAGTCATTCTCTAGTGCTTGTGTTTCTTTTTTCTTTTTTTTTTTCCCTCTGTAAAACAAAATAAATCTATTTTGCTTAGACAAAGATGTTTGAAACATCTCCTACCCAGCGCTGACCTGGAACAGCCTTTGTTTGTATTTTTAAATCTTTTTTTGCTGTGGTGTGATAATTGGAACTATTTTAAGTTTCAAATATTTTTGTGGTGACAAAAGTAACTGAGTGGTGCCTACGGTAGCATTTATTCTGATGCTTTCACTAGCACAGCTATACTAGTACTGAAAAATGGGTGTTAACGTGATTCTGGCAGCCTTGCTGTCCTTGCGTGTGTGGTGGCCCCCTGAGAAACATAGTGAGGCATTTTGAGTAAAACTAGAGGCAAAGTTAAGTCATGTAATGAATTGTCCTTATAGTGCTGTTGTGGGAGATATTTTTCTCTTGCAAATGTGTTTGTTAGACTTGCTCGTTATTTTTTGTTGCTGTTTATGGACCATCTAGGTACTGTGCTGGCCAAGGGAGCTTTGCCTCGAGATGTGAAAGTTAATTCTTTAAAACTAGATGTTCTGGAATTAGCTCATCAAGAGATAAGCAAGAAAATTTTTATCTGTTTTATCTTTATGAATGACACAGAAATCTTCTTGTGTCAAAAACTGATGTTAAAACATATTTTTAAAAAGTACAAAGTGGGAATCCCTGAAGGGCAGAAAGATGATAAGCTTAGTTCTTTGGTAGCTTGATTTACTAAAAAGCCAATTACTGGTGTTTTTAAGTATCATCAAGGTGAGTATTCACTATCTAGTTTTGCCGTGTAACTACCTGAGATGTCATGCTGATAACCTGTTTGTGAAAGACGCTTGGATTAAGTATAAAAATTACCATGAGAGGTAGTTATGTCAGTGCAGAATAATTGAAATGTACAATCCTAGAATCAATGTGTCTGTGCAATTGTTTTTTGTTTTCAAGTTGTTATTGTTGTTATGATAGTCCTGGAGTGAGATTTGGACTAGTAAATGAATAAGCTTATGATAAATCACACTTTTGGAATTGATGGGGAAAAGAGGAATGTTTCTTAGTGCAGCCTGCTTTCAAAATTCAAAATCAAAATAATAATAATAATAAAGCATGTTCTTGAAACATGAAATAAATAAAAGGAGCTTATATTTGAAAAAAAATCATAATCCTTAAGCAAAGAAAGGATGTTCTAGATTGATCTTCATATTGTTTTCCCACTCACCATTCACTTCAGTGTTTTATGGTACTGTTTCATGTTGGCTATTTTACGGTGGCATTTTACAGGCCCCTGGCTGGTTTCCCTACGAACAGACAGTTATAAGTACTTGCAAATTCTCTTTCTTTTGCATATTTGGGAAACATTAAGAGCAGAAAAGAAATAGATTAAGTGTAGTGAAACATTATTAAAATCTCAGGCTTCTTTCTCTCTTCTAGAAAAAGGCTTATCTTGGCTGTAATGACTCCCTGAATCAGTTGCACAGGACAGATGTAGAGGGGAAAAGTGGCAATATCCTAGGATACACAGTGGGGATTAGCCTTTGATTCCTCGCGTATTCCGGTCCCTGAATAAGAAGCTGTCAGTAAGATACAATCTTTAATATTCCTTGCCACTTGTGGAGGTGATTCTGCATATTAGTTTAAGTCCTTATCACTAGCCATTGTCATATTGCTGTGTTTGGCATAGATAAATGGCCTTGTCATTGGTATAAAATAGTCTTCCTAGTCACACTCAAGTGAGTAGCACTGCAGAAAAGAGCAAATTTGAAAGGCAAGATGTGCGCTAAGCCTCTCTTGAGACACAGTGCTCAGGTTAAGATTCCTTTAATAATACAGTATCACAGATGCTTGTCTCCTGCACAAGTGTCACTAGTAGATTGCTGGCTTCAGGAGATGTGCAGCATTTCACAGACAGGTCTTTTAGTAAATGCAGACAAATGTGATCTGGCTTTACCTTACATCTCTGAGCTTC